ACCCGCCAATATGGATATAGTTGGGTCAGAAGTATCAGTGATGAATGGGTTACATCTACCCGGACTCGGAGTTCGAGGTTCAGGGCTTGGGATTTAGCATTTGAGGGGTAAAGGGTGCACGTATAAGACTTGTAACTGTCATCATTTGGGTACGGCCCCCACCCAGTAACAGTCTATATTAGGGGTCCTATTAAGGGCTATGTATAACCATATTCTAAATATTTTCCAACTGTTCCTGAGTGGGGGCAGTACCCAAGTCATCATCATGATTCTGAAGGTTGCGAGTTTCGGAACATCAGGCTCTCCGAGGTGAGTTTTTTTGGGTGGTGAAACCTAGTAAGATAATATTCTTTACATAGAATACCATACCTCAAAAGGAGGATATAATCTTACTCTATAATGGGTACCATAGTATCCCCAAATAAAGACTACTCAGGTGAGGTTTTTTTGGGGGGGTTAGGTTTCGAGGGCACCGGTCAGGCGTAGCCTTTGAGCTAGGAACTCTTAGCCACACATTTTGGACTCCAAACCCCCACCCAATCCTCAAGCCCAAACTCTAAGCCTTCAGACCCAAACGCGGAGAACTGCATGCCGCCCGTGCAACCCTTCACCCTCTGCTGCCTGTACCAGTCAGGATCACCACAAGCTGATCCAGATTTGTGATCAGACTTCGATCGCCAACGATTGGCTTCCTGTGGTTTTTGCTTGCGATTGGGAGTTTTCTCGTGGTGTGGCCGGGGGTCAAGGGATTTCAGGGTGGGAGAAACTCTAAAGACTTTTGGGGGGTCCTTGAAATACATAATGTAAATGGTAGTTTCCATAACTAGGGGAACCCAACTATAGACCCCAGTATACTACAATGCTTGTTATGAGGACCGGCAAAAACGGGGCCCCCTCATTTTGGGAAACCCTAAACCCTTGTAATCCCCTTGACAGGTACGCCTAATCTTGGGAAACCCCCAAAGTGTCAATCACATATCATTCGCAAAAGTTACAAGATTTGTATTGCTGCAGTGCCAAACGGTTTAGGGTTTAGGGCGGAATTCTTTTGGTTGTGCCAACTTCCCCCTTTAAGCATCCAGAAGCTCATAAAATCCTGCAGAGTTACACCAACACCAACTGACTGAATTTACCTTCCATCACAACACGGATCCTATACCCTAACCTCTTAACCCCCAACCCCTAAACCCCTAAACCCTAATCCCCTAGCCCTACACCCTAAACCCAAAACCGTTAAATCCCTAAACCCCTCTACCTAAACCCTAGTTAGTGAGGGTATATCCCTGAATTAAGGTAGAGCTCTCTGGGTTGTTAGGGATTCAAGCCCCAAAACCAAATGTCCCGAGCTGATAACTGTTGATCCAAGACCCACAAGGGGTTTGGGGTTTAGGGTTTAGGGTGTGACCCTAAACCCTAAATCCTAAACCCTAAATCCTAAACTTTTGTTTCTTTTGTCGGACCTTTTTCCTCCCAATACAAGTTGGAAGCGCTTTACAGCGGGGGCCAGCCCAAAACCACCTCCATACTTCCTCCTTAGGGTTTAAAGTTTAAGGTTTAGGGTGTGACCCAAAACCCTAAATCCGAAACCCTAAACCATAAACCCTAAACTTTAGAGTTTAGGGTTTAGGATTTAAGGTTTAAGGTTTAGAGCTTTTTTAAGGGAAGCATTTCTCCCCAATCCAGCTGGCCGAAAGGATGCTATCAATTTTAAGGTTTAAGGTTTGGGTCTTTTAAGGTTTGGGTCTTTTAAGGTTTGGGTCTTTTAAGGTTTAGGGTTTAGGGTTTAGGGCTTAGGGCTTAGGGCTTGGGATTTAGGGTTTAGAGTTGGGGTTAAGGTTTAGGCTAAGCATGTCAGTTGCTACGGCCGATGGAGCATTTCAGATCCCCAGAATGCTGTAATTGCTGGGGTGGAAGGCTTGAATAGAGTATGCAAGGCGGTAAAAGATTTCCTCCATTCGCTGTACTGTGGGGCAGTATGTCAGGATTACAGGGGGGATATGTAAGGGTTATCGTAAGTAACATGGCGATTTTGGCAACCCCAACCCGCAAACTCGGGACCTTAGTGCAATCACGTGATTGTTACAGGGAGCAACTGCGCGGTGACCAAAATCCCCGTACTTCAACACCCAGACCCTGAGCCAATCGGAATGCCAAAGCTCAGCAGTGATCAAGGGTGTGTGGGGAGGAAATATACACACAAACTGGGCACGAGTATAGGGGGATACATAAGAATTGCAGGGATTATAAACGGGATTCACGCCACCACCCTCGCTTAACCTCTAGTCAGGTATCAGGTCTTACACTTGCCTTCCACACTCCCCTTTATCCCGTTTTGCCTTTGGGGTTTAAACCTCAGACTGCCAAACTGCGTCCAAAAGCTCCAATACTGCGAAACTCTCTGAACCCTGCAACCCTTTAAAACCCAGAACCCCGAACCCTAAACCCTAGGCCTAAGCCGTGAACCCTGAACCCTTCACCCTTAAAACCGAAGCCCCGCCCCTCCTGGAATTCTGTCTCACTCCCAGGGGAACAAGCACAGGGACCAAGGGGTCCAGAATCAGCCTGTCGAGGTTCCTGAGGTTTTTAACTTTTAGGGCTTGGGGTCTAAATTCTAGGGCTTTGGGTTTAAGTCTTAGGGCCTAGGGTTCAAGTTTTGTTTGGGTTTAAGTTTTCTTGCTGAGGGCCTTCAAAGGAGTCAAAATGACAACTAACACAAAGCGCACTGCTATAATTCAAACACGCATCCTCCAAAGGAAGCACCGAAAAAAATGAACAATCGCTATAGAATCCCGATAGGGATTCCAATAACATGCCTGTATAACCTCTATTTGACCTGCTAGGCTCCGATGCTTACTGTCTGGAGGCCCTTGTCAGCATGGGGAGCTGGGGGGTCGGGAATGAAGGTTCAAAGATAAAGGTCGCGAGTTAGGTTTTGGTATACTTGAATTCTAGAACACTGCGTTGTTCACTTGTAAACTCCTAGTCTCCCCCTTAATAACCCCTATAGTAGTCCCCTACATAATCCCCTGTATAACCACCCCTTCAGGAGTTCCGACCTAAACCCTAAACGCTAAACCCTAAATCCTAATCCCTAAACCCTAATCCCTATCTCCTATATTACCTTTATCTAGCCCCATGTAGTCCCCTATACTTGCCCCTTCTACTTCTACTCCGGGCCTTCAGCTATCTCACGCTGTTTAGGATTTCGGGCGTAGGGTTTAGGATTTAGGGTCAGGATCCAGGGTTGAGAGTTCAGGATTTAGGGTTTACGGTTTAGGATTTACATAGGGTATAGCGTTTAGGGTTTAGGGCTTCGGATTTAGGGCTTTAGGGTTTAAGACTTAGGACTTAAGGGCCCAGAACCCACGGGTCTGCCTGTCAAAAACAGCTGCCCTAATTTCGTCTCAGGCAGGATTCGATGTTCATGAATGACCTATCAGATGCAACCCACTTACTTACGAAGGGCCAGAGGGGAATGAAGAAGCGGGTTGTAGAGTTACAAGGACTACCCATTCGACCACCAGCAAGATTGAGGGTCTTTGCATACTGTTCTTCAGGGTATGGAGGAATAAGCGAAATGGAAACTCAAATAATGCATGGTGAGATGTTTACTCTTTCCATGTCATTGCTGCATTTCTGCCCCTAGTATTCACAACCTGTTTGTGCGGACTGAAGGTTATGAGTCAAGTTGCATTGCGAGAATGACAAATAAACTTCTGGTTCTTGCACCGCAAGAAGGACAAATAGAAGGACTCTTTCAGGATCTGCTCCATCCCCTGCTAACAAGAAGCAAGAAAACGGATCATGAAGTCAGGGCATCAATTGCAACGCTGTTGCCGCAAGGCCAACCACAATCGCCCCAGCCAGCACGGCATTCGTAAGAACGGACATGGCGAAGCTGTGGGATACTATCTAAAAATCGCCAGCCCTAAATCAGACCATGCACTCCAGCATCGGAATGGAGGCAGGGAACGACAAAGTATGCGAAAGCATCTAGATGCACAAGCTTAACTGAAGAAAGCTCCTGAGAACCCTAAAGTCTCGTTATCTATCCCTACATGTCCCTCTATGTCCCTCTATACATCCCTGTATGTCTCCATAAATCGCTGTATATTCCTATATCATCTATCTATCCATCATCTCTCTCTCTATCTATCTATCTATCTATCTATCCCTAAACCCTAAACCCTAAACCGCGTGGCTTTATCCATCCCTATGTAATCAGAAAGGGCCAACATGGCGTGGTCCGAGCGAGTTGCGCTGTCTCGGGTTGACTTGCAGGATTGGGACTTGGAAATGGGTTTGGGATTTAGGGTATAGGGGTTAGGGTTTAGGGTTTAGGGGTTAGGGTTTTGGGTTCAGGGGTGCTGGTTTTGGGTTCAGGGTTAAGGGTTTAGGGTGTAGGGTTTTGGGTTTAGGGCTTAGGGCTTACGGTTTCGGATCTCCAAATGGAAAAGAAACTGGAAAAAGAAAGAGGAACTGGGGAACTGGGGCTACCTGGGGCTTGATAAGCAGCTTAAGGTTTAGGGCTTAAGGGAATTGAGGGGGTTACGGAGGCCTTTAGGATTTTGAGATTTAGGGCTTTAAGGTTAAGGGTTTAGGGCTCCAGGGGTTCATAGCTTAGGGTTTAGATTTAACGGGCTGATAACCCGACGTCGTTCTTGGGTACGGGTAACCCCTAAACTATCACGTGGGACCCGCGCGAATAGAGTTCCTACTTTAAAGGAACTTCGAACCCTAAACCCCTAAACCTAAACCATGGCAAAACACTTTATAGCTTTCATAGCTCTGCTACACCTCTGCCAATAACATCTATACAAGTATGCAACACGACCATGGTTGAAAAAAGATTGTCGCTGGACTGCTCCAAAAAGCATGTAAAACTAACATGATAATCTGCCCTTGCACTCGCCGTGCAGTAGAAGCTTTGGCCAAAACACGCCAAAGACTATAAATGGCAGTCATGCTTGAGACACTAACGCTAGCAAGCTTGCGGGGTCCTCTTGGAGGCAGTGGATTCCATGCAGCCGCCAAAGAGCTTCGGCATCCATCTGCCCTTCGGTGTAGAGACCTTACCGCAATTGCGCAGGGAGGACCTAGGGCTTGGGGCTGAGGCGGCTTTACATACCCTGAAGCCCTGGCAAAAGCTGACTCGTGGAAATAGGATACGCAAGACTTCAAATGCATTTCCCGGACCCTAAACCCTAAACCCTAAACCGTGTTAGGTTCATCTTGCATAAGCTTCATCTTATGAGCTTCTAGCCCGGGCCTTCGGGCTCCAGAACTGTAGGTTGCAAGGCTGTCCCCGTGTCATCTATCATCTCAGGGCTATTGCTGAACTATATGGATATTGGGGTTATATTGGGATAATGGAAAAGAAAATGGAAACTACTATGTTGTAATAGGGTATATATGTATATATGTTAGGGGTACATTCAGAATTGTACAGGGATACTGAAGGGGTGTCTGGGGATTATATATGTACTACTGTCTAAACTCCTAGTATCCCCCTTAATAAGCGCTATAGTAGTCCCCTATATAATTCCCTATATAACCCCAGCTCATATATAAGTTGAGGCCAAACATGAAGAAACCCTACTTTCAGCCTTTCGAAGCCCCTGTTTCAAACAAACACGCCTGGCCCTAGCTACAATGCGGTATGGAAAACAAATTCAAAAAGCTCATGCGGGACGTCGAGATGAACCTAAGACAAATGCGATGTTGCTCGGACCTTCATCCCATGCATTCATAGGCACTGATGCATCGAAGCCAGACGAATATGATCCCTTTGCTGAGGAGGAGCCACTATGAAGCTAGGATATTGTTGAAATGGCATACAATGTGAGCAACAATGTCTGCTGACAATGTCTGACAGTGAAACCAGGAAGTCTGAAACCTGCCGGCTGTGTTTTAGCAAAGCTGTGCTTCGACATCCGCTCCATCCATCAAACTTTGAATCTTTCATTCCAGACCCTGGTACCATGAACTCTCATGAAGAGAGGAAGACTTCGGACGGCAGCTTTCCCAAAAACCAGGCACAGTGTCGGATGGGTTGGCAGAAGAGCGCGTGCAGTCTATCTGTGTAAGGACCCTTGGTGAGCCCTTACGTGCCCCTTTTCCACCTCATGTTTGGCGGGCGAACCACACCGCACCAGAATCCCAGAATATTCCAGGCTCAGCCAAGGAACCATGGCGCATGGGGAAGAAGGGAATGTAGTAGAGGAGGCAGCGCCAGTGTCCGTAGACAGTGCAGGCTTGCAGGAAGATGGAATAGAGCGGCCAAAGAAGCCTTGCGCTTCAGGGTTTAAGGTGTATAGGGGTAAGGGTCCCCCCTTAAGTAGATAGAATATAGGGTACATGGGGATCTTATTATCATAAACCCAAAGCCATATTCTATCTACTTAAGGGGGGTTATAGGCTCTAGGGACAAGCAAGTCTTTGCAGAGCGTTAGTCTCTAGATTTGGGGCACATGCCTGGCAATAGCAGTTCGCTGTGTTTATGGATGAATTTCACTGAGCTGTCAAACTATCCGGTATCAGGGAGACATGATTTTTGATGAGCTCTAAGCCCTATATACCCTATAACCCTAGACCCTAAACCCTGGAAACTTATAAAGATGTACCCCCACAAGCCTGAATTTTAGAAAGCTCGAGCCCCAAATCACGAACCCCTGCATGACCACCGCATTGTATACTAGAATGCCACGTTCTCTAAGGTATTTAAAACCATGAAGGATTGTAGCGTACACAGCACCACCCTCCCCGAAGCGAGCCCCTAAACCCTAGACCCTAAATCCTAAACCCTAAACCCCCCCTCATTCCAGCCCCAGAAGCAAGGTGAGCACGTCTGCTTGCAGGCCCGGATGGTCCCTGAGAAGCACGACGCTGAGAACAAAGCCATTCACCCACTGACCTGGTCATACACCACACGGTTTAGGGTAGAGGGTATGGGTGATATGTATCCTTCGAATTTGTGCGACTTACCAATCATAATAATGTTACCCTTTTGCTTGAAATACGTGTATTTAGCTCTATTTATTTAATTAGCTTGTGACTTTGATCTGTATTTATATTCTTATCAGAAATACCAACTGCCAATCATAAGATTACTCTTCATCCCTGTAGTCGTCCATATAAAACCGCCCAATTCGACACCCCATAACTCACTCACATATTCATCCTAAACCCTTGAGCCCTCAACCCTAAACCCTAAACCCTCCAAACCACCTGTAGGCAGCGCAGCTAGGGGTTCCTGGTGCCATGTTGGACGATGCAGGTGCAAGATCAAGGTTGCAACTTAAACAAACCCTAAACCCAAAGTGATCCCCTATAATACCCTATATAACCCCAAATAGTCCTCCATTGCACAGAAGACTTAAAGCATAAGAAACAAAAGATGCTGGAACTAGGGTTTAGGGGTTAAGGTTTAGGGTCTATAAGCCAAAATATGTAAGTTGAATGTTTCGAGGTCTTGCTGCTGCAATGGAACGATGTCAGCCAAACTACCCCTCAAGTCTGCCGAACCTTCACGAACGGTATTGCCTACCTTGCTGTTCCCACAAGAAGGAACACTGATGTCAAACAACACGGACCCATGTCTAAGTCGGAACTCAAATGTAGGATGGTAGGAATCCACACCAGACAAGTTCAGGGACTTCGCCACGTGAGCTATGGTCTTAACTCATAACCCCTAAAATTGTTCCCTACATAATCCCCAATATGACCCCCTTGACGGAGGTTAGACTCCTAAACCATAAACCCTAAACCTTATCTAACCCCTTAGAAGAAGGTTAAACCCTAAACCCTAAATCCTAAACAGATCCCAATATAACCCCCTGTAAGCAGGTGAGACTATAGCTCATATAACCCTAAACCCCTAAACCCTAATAATTCCCTAGATAATCCCCTTGAAGGAGGTTAGACACTATTCCCTAAACCATATCTGATCCCCTATATAATCCTATATAACCCCAATAATCCTCCATAGAACCCCCACTATAGCTCCCTAAACCCTACATCCTAAACCCGAAACCCTATACACCCCCACCCCCTTTAAGGAGGTGAGACCCCTAAACCCTAAACCCTAAACTTCATTGGGTTTGCCGCTGCACTGTCCAAGCCACAGAGGGCAAAGCAGACAAGTACGCTCAGGAAATGCCAGGAAGCCTCTGGCCATTCTGGGTTTCAGGTTTTAGGGCTTTAAGGGTTTGAGGGTTTTAGGGCTGTAGGGTTTTAGGGTTTTAGGGTTTTACGGTTTAAGGTTTAGGGTTTGAGGGTCTCAGGGTAGGGATTTAGGGTGTAGGGTCTTAGGGTTTAGGGTTTAGGGTTGTGGATTTGGGGCGGTAGCCTAGAAATTTCCTTATGACCCCGAGATAATCCCTATATAGTCCATATATAACTATGTAACCTTTTCAGGGCGTTGAAGCTTCGAAGTTCTGGGGCGTTGCATTGTTGACTTTAAAAGCTTCGGGCATAGGTCTTTGGGCTTGCAGGGATATTTCTAGATGCCCCCTTCAGTTGAACTTACTGGTTGTTAGTGAGGAATAAGGGTGTGTATATGTGAATGTATTTGTATACATACATATATACATATATAATAAAAGAGGCTTTAGGGTTTAAGGTTGATAGGAAATGAGGGATCCCTGTATACTATATTAAACTGAGATTACATAGGGATTATATTCCCATAATCCGTACTAACCACCAGTAGTTCCATGTTTCGAAGGGCGGACGTATAAAGGAAGGCAAGCATGTCTCATTGGAAAACCTAGAGATGAGCCGTTTGGTGTGGCACGTATGCCTGGCTTGCAGGATAGGTCCAGATACAACATGCATGCACCTGGCCGACATGCTGCACATGTTCCTCAAGCTTTAGAGCCGGACCATTGTCCCTAAGCCATCGAAGCGGAGCATAGGAACTGAAGCACTTACACCGTGTCCCTCATTTTCTCCTGGCCTCATCCAGATTCTTGGTTGCTGTTCAGGAATCTAAAATTAGGTTACCATAGTATGGGTATATGGTGAATAATAGGGCTTCCTTATTATGATAGCTCAGCGGAAAAAAAATCCTTAACAGCAACCCAAGATTTTTGTCCTACTTGATGGTCCAGGCTGCCACCACGTACCCGGTCAAAGCACTTGCAGCTACCCCAGCGCTTATTTCTACCTAAGTACCAATTAAGCAAATCAATTAGACCCTACACAATACACGCTGATCCTAGGTACCCAAACTAGTCAGGTTATGATGACTATCTCTCTTCCCCAATAACCAAGGCTAAAAAAGCTTGAACTTTACTATAGAGAACCAAAATGGAAGCCCAAAAAGGTTAAAGTTCTATTGGCTAAGTAGGCTATTGTTGATGCAAACAACCCCGCACAGCCTCCTCGTTTGCCTGAACTTGAGGACTTGCGGTAGTACAGCAAGGTTAGGCTCGTGCTGAGTAGAAAATGGGATAATGGAAAAGAAAATGGAAACTACTATAATTTTGTAGTGTATATATTAGGGTGTATTTAGAAAGGATATTAGGATAATGGAAAAGAACATGGAAACTACTATTATACTAATAGGATATATATTAGGGGTTATATACAAGCAATATCAGGATAATGGAAAAGAAAATCGAAACTACTATTTAGAGTTTAATGTTTAGGGTAGAGCCCCCCTTAGGTAGACCGCGAATAGCCATTGTTAAATCCCTCGGCCTTAAACGGAACCCCCAATTTTTCTTGAAAAGGGGAGGAAGCAGACCACCTCGGGATCACCGGCAGCAAGCGTCAGCAGGGGGTGGACCACGAGGAACGGCAGGACAAGGTGGCCTTTGGAAGAATGGGCTTAGGGCTTCAGGTAGGGCTTAGGACTTCATCCCTAAACCCTAACCCCAAACCCTTAATCCTACTCCCTAAACCCTAAACCCTTAGGCTTTTGGATTTTGGGGCGTAGGATAATTTAGGCAGATTCTAGGGTTTAGGGTTTTAGGGTTAGTGCTCTAGACAGGGCTTCGGGCTTAGGTCCTGTGGCTTAGGGGTTGGGAGTTGAAGGATCGGGAGGGTTTGCGGTGTAGGGTTTTTGGGGACTCTCCAAAATCATGGGCCCCCTTGTTGGGAGTCTCTACCACCAGGATTATGAAAGACAGGGGCTTTATACTGGGGCCACCTGATTTATGGAAACGCGTGCGCAGGATTTCTGGCTGTTGCGGAATGGAATCAGGGGCTCCGGGTGAGGTCTTTGGTTAGCCCTTCATTGCCTGCCCCTTCCATATGCAACGTAAATCCAAAATTCCGAAACGTAGACCGAACTTAGACTACAAACACAACACTGGAACGTCGCAACTGATTCCGGATACAAAGTTGGGCGCCTATGAAACTCATGTTCTTATGGTTATGGCTTTACATAGATTGTAACTGCATTTCGGTGCAGAAGTACCAGAGATGATTCCCAGAAAAGTCCCTGTAAACCCAAGCCAAGTGGCCTAGGATGCTGAGAAGGTGGAGGACCTCAGCGGAGAGTTTAGGGTTCAGGGCTTCCAGACGATTTAGAGTTCAGAGTTCAGAGATTCAGTTCGGGGCGGGTGGAGGAAGGATTGGATTGACAGTGTGGGGTGGAGTTTTGCTCCTAAACCCTAAACCCCAAAATGCAGATGTTCTGCATAGAAGGTGCAAGAATGGGCAGAACGCGACAGAAAGCTTGGAATTATGTTTGCGCTTTAGGGTTTAGGGTTGAGGTATAGGTTTTAGAGTTTGGGGCTATGGCTTTTCTTGTGAAAAGGAGGAGGGTATAGGATTCAGAGCAAAGAATAAATGTAGCGAGTAAGGTTTGCGTTGGCTACCGCCCCCTTATATACCCGTTAGAGCGTATAGCGAAGGCAATATGGAGAGTTCATATTGCGATTAAATGTCAATTGCTACTGGGTGAAAACAGTATCCAAGGCTTTAGGTTTTTCACTTTAAAAGAACTGTATAGACCCTCAACACTATACATGTTGCGAAACACTAGTGTCAGCTTGAAATGACAATTATGTGTGCTATAAGATATTACCTGGCCCCAAACCCTAAACCCTAAGCCCCAAACCCTGAACCCTAAGTCCTAAACCCTAAAACCCCCAAAGTCATCTAGATCTTGCTTGAGGTTGTGCCTTAAAACTGAAGACTCGGTCTTGGCAACAAACGTCCAGAACCTCCCGTGGACTCGAAACCTGCTCGCTTGTAACCTAGATAAGTCCAGTGGTTGGAAATAAGGGTTATAACACTAAGCCCGTAACCCGAAACCATAAACTATAAGCCTACCCCCTAATCCCGTGAACCTCGGGATTTCTCAAAGGCCATGTGCAAAAAAACAGAGGGACCAGGGGGAAGCTCGGGATGTGTGAGGACTAAACCATAAACCCTAAACTCAAGGACACCCAGCTTACCATGCAAAGGGCCTGACGTCCCAGTGCCCCTTCCAGGATTCAATCAAAGAAACAATTTCATTGAAAGTCACCCGGACAGGATGAGGCTAGTCTCTTAGCGGTCCAGAGCCTCCCATGTAAGCAGTTTGACTGCCTTATTCTTTTGAAGCCCATGCAACCAAAAGCCACACGCCATCAAATGGTTTTCAATGCTCTGGTGAACCAACAGGCCCTTCACATCAAGCCCCAAGAGGTCAAAAACCGACACCCCGAATCCTGAACTCTGAGCCCCAGAGCTCCTACCATCGCGGCCCAGTGGCGGAAAAGCATTGGAAGATCAAGGTCCTCCCACGTAATGACTGCACTCTGCGTATCTCTGCATGCTACGGTGGATACTAAAAATCCTGCATCACCCTAAGAAGCTCAAGGCTTGCGAATCATGGAATTACGGTTTTAGTGAGGTCATGCAGGAGCTTTAGTATCAACAATAGCGAGCCCTCCCCTTCGAAGGGGCATATCCCTCTCAGACTCGTCGCGGAGCCTTCTCCAAGCAATCTCAAACTGATCTCAATATGAACTGTACCTTTATGCGCATTAAACCACGTGCTTGCAATCATACAACTGCAACAGAGATTGTGTGAAGAGCGTTTTCAGGATGGTATGAGCATAGCTGGAAACCTCACACATCAACCAAAGAGTATGGTAGGTAGGTGAGGCAGGTGCTGTTTAGCAGTAGCAGTCCTCGATGTTGCGGTTGTGTAAAAGTCGTACTAAAGTTGTCGTAGGGATAAACATAACAAGACTAAGATACACACAGTAGTGGCACACGCAATAGTAGCGCACGGAAGCAAACGGATGGCACAAGTAGGAGTAGGAGCAGCTCTAGCAGCTAGGACTGGTACTACTAATAAACATAATTACTACTAGTCACTACTACTTACTACTTACTTCTTACTACTACTACTACTACTACTACGACGACGACGACGACGACGACTACTACTACTGCTACTACTACTCCGACGACTACGACTACGACTACGACTACGCTTACGACTACAACTACGACTGCGACTGCGACTACGTCTACCACTACGACTACCACCATCACCACCACCACCACCACCACCACCACCACCAACAACAACAACAACAACACCAACACCAACACCAACACCAACACCAGCAGCAGCATCGCCCTGGCCTGCTGAGGGAACCAGTTCGATAGAAAATCAAGAGGTAGAGCCGGAGCCAGAACCCTTGAGATGTGGGGTTTAGAATCTTGAGCGTTTCGAGGCCTAGGGTTTGGGGATTGGGGTTTAGGGCCTAGAGCGTTCAGGGTGCTAGGCCAAAGCGGGATTGTGTTATTTGTGCAAAGTAATACGACCAATAAGGCAATGCGAATTGGCTTCGTGAGGTTTCGGGAGTTCAGGGTTTCGGTACGAGTTGAGGGCTGAGGATCTATTCATAGCTTCGGGCTTGGGGTGTAGCATACGTTCGTTTCGGGTTGAGAGCTCACAGGGCTTGAGTGCTTGATTTCTGTAGCCTGATCAGACTGGCATCCTTGAGCTTTTTCTTGGTGTGAAGTTCAGGCGAAGAAACCACGGATGTTGGGCCTCAGGATTAAAAAATTAGCGCTGCAGTGCGGGGTCTAGGGTCTTGGGCTTTGCGTTGAGTCTGGGCCTGGGCTTTGGGCTTAGAAAATTGGGGCTCAGAGTTTTGACTTCGGGTTTGGGGCTCAAGGCTCTGTGATTCCAGGTAACTGCTTTGCTTCTAAGGTTTAGGGTTTAGGGTTTAGGGTTTAGGGGTTTCGGGTTTAAGGGTTTAAGGGTTTAAGGGTTTAGGGGTTTAGGGGTTTTGGATTTGGTGGTTTAGGGGTTTAGGGTTTAGGGGTTTAGGGTTTAGGGGTTTAGGGTTTGAGGGTTTAGGGGTTTAGGGGTTTAGGGCTTAGGGTTTAGGGGTTTAAGGTTTAGACGCTGTATCGAGCAGTTTTGGAGCTCGGTGGCAGTGGGGCTCACGCATCTGAGCCTGCCTCAAGCTACAGCAGCTCTTCCTGGAGACTTAAGCTGGGTTGCTGCTACCGAACTGGAAGGGTATTTAGGGCTTAGGGCTTAGGGCTTAGGGTTAGGTTACCACAAGAGAGGTACATGGCAAATAATAAGGTTTCTTTGCAATGGTAATTTAGCTAGGTTCCTTAAAAGCAACCCAGTAAGATTTGCCATGACTGCAAGACTCTAGCAAACTGCAGTGCCACCCTTAGATGTTAAGCAACAGACATAGATATATACGCTACCCCCCCCCCATGGATCCACC